TTATTTGTATACATGCATATAAGATGATTAAACCAAACGAGGCTACTTGTGAATAGGCCATTTCTTGTTAACGTACATTATACAATATATCATAATGAATGATAGCTAAACTATATTTGTAGTGGCAATAACAATAATAGTAGTAAAATCTATCAGGTAGATTATATGATAACATCAACAATTATCATTTGAAATCATCAATCAATCATTGTTAGACCACCATTAGAAACCTGGAAGTACTGGACGTCCGTTTCGTCCTGGTATGGGACTCATCAGCAGTGCGCATTCACGACTCCTGCACCTCGTGGATGCGCACTGCTGATGAGTCCCATACCAGGACGAAACGGACGTCCAGTACTTCCAGGTTTCTAATGGTGGTCTAACAATGATTGATTGATGATTTCAAACGTGTAAAAACACAAACCCTCAAAACTCTGCCCGAAAATAATTAGTCCTTTTATACATTTCACTAGAACAAGGCGTACTTGATTTTAAAATGCGATGTATTCGCTCTATACAGTTCGAACAATCTGGTCATATATATTTACTTGTTAAGGCATTTGATATGAAGATTAATCAAAGGTCAAATAAATAAAAGTTCAAACAAATATAATTGGACAATTGGAAACGGAGAGAGAAAATTAATATAATATATAAAGAATAAGAAAGGGTAGGGGATTGTTACATTACCCCAGAGGCTATAAAATGGCTTATAGTTTGCCATATTATTGGAATTAGGCTAAAATGGTCACCTTATTATTAGATGTAAGTTATACAGTATATAAGTCAGAAAATTACGTTAGGATGTCATCAGTGATATTTATTGCCTTAGTCGTGCCTAAAAAATAACCGCGACTGCTAAAAACACCTGATGTATATGCATATGTGTACAGTCGATTTGGGTTTTCAGCAATCCAAATAAAAGGTTCTATTCAGTGTCCTAATTTCGTTTATTTTTAGTACGGATGTACTGAAACAGAACGAATAAATACGCGTAAATGTTTAATCCTAAATAATTTCCTTTTTGTTATTGATGAACGTTATTGAAAATCATAAAATGGTGTTCATAAATAAAGAATTTTAGCAATTTTAGAATCCAACACTTAGACAGTATTTCGACATACTCTGTAAATAATTAGACATTTTCGAAGTTTCGCAATCAATCTATAAGGTAAAATTTAATTAACTCACACAAAATCTCTTTATTTCTGATGTTTTAAGCACAAATGAACATTATCGCTGTGTAGTTAAATTAAGTAAAGACTAAATTCTGAGATATAGTTATTAAGTTACATAACAATGTACACTTAAATTAATCAGAACCTCTTACTAACTAGAATTATTTTTATAGACATTATCCACTTAAAATATTTTCATAAAAGTAAATCACTTTAATTACTAAATGAATTCCTACATAACCACTTAGAATATAATGATTTTCATTATGCTTGTTAACTACTACTTTAGACATATATTTCACAACGGACAAAAGTATTAAACTTTTATTTTACCGTTACTGAATTCAACATATAAAACTGATAACATTTTGATATGTGTAAGATTAATATAACTAATTCGTATGTATATGCAGTTAACTGATGTGAAGTAAATAAAATATATTTTATTTACCACTATCGGAGTCCTATCGTTTCAGTCTTTTCAGGGATCATAAGAACCTGACAATCACACAAAAGTACATACACACTTATATCAAGTTATGAGCAAATAATTGACAAGGTCGAAAGACATATGAATGGTAATTAGTTTATATAGAAGCTAGGACAAGCAATATGGACTCGACGTATTGATACACACATTATAGTCTCCTAATTGACTGAACTACGAATTGTATTCTTCGGCAGATGTCAGATGTCGGATGGATGAATCGTTTTTTTGATCCACTTCACTAAGTTGGTAACAATTTACCTGTTTCTGTGAGACATGTTATATTGCCTAGGCAAAGCATAGTTTTTCAAAAGTATATCCGAATGTACTATCCAGTATGGTTGGTTATCTGATAGTGAATGCACACCAACCAGTAACTCCATTACTGAAATTAAATTTTATCTTGTCTTATGTTGATCATTAATTTAATTAACATATAGTTTTATTCTCAAAAATCGAAAATCGGTAACTTTCCACTCATTTCAAAATAATCATGATGATAGATAGATTTTACGTTTGCATATGTAGTTGATTGTAGAACTAAAACGGAAAGTTCGCATTCATACTGAAGAAAATGTGAAAAAAATTTGTAATCTAATGTACACCCAATAATGACAAGATGCATAAGTAAAATTACATTATAATTTTAAGCTTTATGCATGAAGACAAAATGTTTTAACAAATAAAGCTATTGATTACTTTTCATTTATAAAATATGCTTGCTTTTTTCATAAGACACTCCAGTTGATTTCCCCTTTCAAAGGAAATCAAAGTTCTTATTTTTTTTGATGAAATAGAGTTTAATTAATTTTCGAAAATTAATAACTAATTAAACTAAGTAAAATAAGAAATTTAAATTTCAGTTGAACAAAGAAACAATTAAATGTTAAGTAGATTTTGTGGTGATAATTACTGCTTAATTAAAAAAAAATGCATGATGGGCATTATAGTCAGTAGTGCACATTGAATAGAATGGTACAATATTAAACAAGTAACTGAACATCAGATTACTAAGCATTTATTGACATTATTGAAATATTTTATTTTATCATTCAATGAAATTCAGTAGTTACGCATTAATCTAAGAAAGTTTGTGCGTTTGTGTACAGCTTACAGTAATACATAAAATAATTTATAATTTTGACGGATTTCTCTAATCAAAATAAAAATATTTTTGTAAATAAATACAATCGTATTTTTGACAAAATTGATAATTTTATTGAATGTAATGTAATTAAACAAACTGAAATGCTTTAATGGAATTCTTTTTTTCGTGTACTCTTTCTAGTAATAGATGTTTGCCTAAAAAAAATCTGTCAGAAAAGTAGAACTAATAATTTAGTTCAGTGATCAGAATTCTGTTTTGTTAATTAAACTCTTATTATTTTACTAGTAATCATCAAATTCACTAATAAAGTAGATTGTTAAACGCTTGAAATAAACAAAAAATTTCGATTGTATTTATATTGATATAAACAAACTAAATAATGTATCTAATTCTACAATGAAAATGAAGATGAAATATTATCGAACAAAACGAAGTAGAAAAAATTGATTATTGAATAAATAATTGAACAATGAATTATATGTATACTTCTAATAATTTTATAACACTAACTTTCATCAAACTAGAATGTATTTGATTATTTACTTGAATAAAATTTCTTTTAATCGTTGAATGAACATCAGTGAATGCCTATGAATATGATTAACAACTCATTGATAGAGTCATTTCAATTTAAGAAATCAATAATCATTAAACTCCTCATTCAATTTGCATGAGTAATTAGATGTGTTTCGATAAATTCAGTCAGTGAATTAGTCTAGTTTTTGTGACGACAACTAACGAGAAATAATAACAAAAGTAAACATAACTAGAAATTATTGAATGTAACAATTATAAATATGCATTTTAACAGTTGTCATTAGGCTTTAAAATTATCTGAATTAATTTTGTAGATTAGCTAATGTGGAGAAAAAGAACAACCTAAAAATCTTTTGAAAAATTAAAATGTACTAAAAAGCTGTTTTACTTTAGTCTTGTAGTTTCCTCAAGTACCAATGAACCGTATAATTGAAAAGACTGATATCTTGCCGGCTTTTTGGCAATTATTTTATATGAACTGAAATTTGATGACATAATTTAGCGCCTCATAAGTGACTTCCGTTCAAAGATGATCAAACATCATTGGAATACAGTCCTGAACGGTAACAGAATAAAGATCAGTTTTTAAATAAAAACATCACAAAATTCAAAATAAAATTTACAAATACCCAAATAAATAATAACTCTGTAATTAAAATTTGAATAACTGTTAAAAGTTGAATTAAAGAAGCGCATTTTGTTTCATTTGAAACGCTTAGTTGAAAGTTTCTACTTACTAGTTTCAAAGTGAACACTGATACTTGAATTCTAAATCGACTGTGAAGGTTTTCTTCAATTGAAAGTTAATGAAGGGATTTTTATAATAAGTTCATATTACCTTTTCATTTTACTGTTAAATTAGTATCCATCTAAGGGATGAAGACGATATTTTGATCAAATGTAAATACTGAAATATTAAACTGTTTCAGAAATAAACTATAACCGTCAGTCTGTAACTGAAGTGAATAGGTATATTGAAACTATTCCTATAAATACACAGGTCGCTTTGACATGCATATCATGTTAACTGATCATTCCCTGATGACCATGTAACATATATAAAAAAAAGTATGTTTTGAGATAAATTAAGCAGTTGATTTCAATATTTGACAAATGTTATTAAATGTATGAAGTTAGTGATCCTTTAATGAATGTTTAATAGAAATTACTACATTAGCACTTCACAGCACTGTTAAATTCATTTTAGTGAGTAATTATTGTAAACCGAAAAATATTCTTCACTAAGGATTTCATTTTAGCCATCTAATAAAATTGATTATATTTGTTTTCTATCAGCATGATGCTGTAGTACAGAATGAAAAACAATCAAACAAAGGGTAAATTTACAGCATGAGATAAAATACTCAGTAAAAATAATCCCATCTATACACAAGAATCATTTGGTTATTCAATGGAAAAATATGCAAAAATACTCGAAGCTCTACGAACACCAAACGCTGGAAGATGAACACTACAAATTTACAAACACCCACGTTCAAGTAAGCCAGTTATATTGTCATCATTCAAATGAATGCAAATATCAACGTTAATTAGCAAAATCTCAAAATTAACTTTTTCATTAACGATGTAAAGCATAACAGAATTTAGTTCAAAGTACTCTAACCGAAATAAAGGTAATTATTTTGTAGATTAAAAAAAATCAACAAATATATTCGGAAGAATAACTTACTTGCAAAGCTTTCGTTTTTGGGTGATTTTTCAGAATTTTGATGACTCATTTTTAAATTGACTTCTGCAAAGCTTTTATCCCGTGATAAATTCACTAAATTGCTATTCAATGTATTTATAACATCCCAGAAAATAATGAGTATAGTATGATATCTAATTTCAAAAATAACTCTCTATTTTAATAATTTGTGTAAATTTACAAAAACAAATGAGTGATGTTTCATTTCATGCAATAATGGTTGATGTGAAATGTCGAAATACTCAATCGGTAGAATACGGGAGTATAAAACATTCCTTAAAATTTGCATAGTCCCTTCTACTTTCTGATTGGTTGGAAATAAATTCTAGAAACTGACTGATTGGGTGGTAGACATAATGGTTACATAAACTGAGATAAGCTAAAGCAAATTTATATATATATATATATATATATATATGTATATATATATATATATATGTTTATTTATTTATGTAAAATGGTTTGACTAATCCTCGATGCTCCCAAAAGACTCATGTTTCCGCATTTGTTAACGCAGAACAAACTACTGATATATCATTCCCAAGGTTATTTCTTCAACTCTTTCCTTTCTTTGTTCATCTGAATGGTAAACTATTTATTTATTTTCGTTTTTGGCAATAGCAAATGTGAGAAGATATCCTTGAAAGTTTTGTTAGCCGTTGTGCTTTCTAGTTGCACAACAGAATGACCTAATTTCTTGTTATTTTTGCATAATTTTTCAGTTGCATTCAAAAAATTTATTATGATTAACAAGTTGAGAACTGGATTGTCCACTAAATCGACTTGAAGATCAAAAACTAAGAAAAACAATCGATTTCTATTGAAATTGAGAAAATTTCTGGTTTTCATATATATATTTGTTTGTTTGTGTTTTTTTGCATTTCTGATTATTATTTAAATTGATAAAAAGAATTTTTTTCAGAATACAGCTAGTAATAATTAATCTAATGCGTAATAAATAAATCTTGAATTATAATTAAATTTAAAATATTGTGTAAATAAATTTCTGGAGGAATATTTCATAACCTGAATCATGACAGGGAAGTAAGTAATACATGAATTCATTGTTTAATTAATTTGTCAAATAAATCATTCACTTATGATTTATTCTAACTCAAATCAATTTACTAATACTAAAAAAGACCTGACTACAACGGCTTTTTATTTAGTAACTGGCATTCAACGTAACGCTTGGATCAAGTTGACAAATTTGTTGAAGCGTCATTTATACTTTCAGTCAACACTGATTAGCATTCAAATGAATGTTCAATGCGGTTTTCAGGCAGTCAGTACAAGGTTGTGGAGAATTTTGAATTTTCTTTTTAAACTTATAAACTAATCAATGTTAGACATCCATCAAAATTCCGGAATCATTGAACTTTAGTTTCGTTTTATTCTAAGATTCTTCTACAGTCTGAATCCACCACTGCGCAAGCAGTACTCGAATCATGGGTGTAGGTTGCCTTGTGCAAACGCTGGATTACAACTGAATCTTTGGCTATTAAAATCAAATATCTTGTAGTAAAAGAGATTTTTTTAAAAAGAGAATATGAAAATTGTGTAAACAAACACAAAAGTCTAATGAAAGTACAGTTATGTAGAGTTTTAGGCTTTTGTTGTTTCAGCGAGTGTTGATGTTAGCCTGAGATATTCTCAAATATTAATAATAATGATAATTCATTATTCAGTGTGGATAGTGTTTTTGGAAAAAACAAAAGTACGCATAAATTCACAAATGGATTTAACAATAAGCATCTACAGTCTAGAATAATTGCTTGGTTTTTTTAATTGTTTAATTGCTATACATTGAAAACGTACATGCATTAAACTTTCATCATGTTAAACGCATAACATTTTCAGGAAATATGATAGATAAATCATTAACCTGAAATACACTTTAATTGATAACATTTCAATGGGATTAGCATAATTGCCTTTTTTTCCATTCATAATGTATCAATATGAATAGTAACAAAACTTTTCTAAATATTGTTGTTGGTTGTCTGGACGTACCGATTCATATACCTCTCAATAAAATTCATCAAACATCTATCAGTTAATGCATGATGATGAAATGTTAAAAAAATTTTAAAAATTGCATAAAGTTTATTATTCAACTGAAGAATATAAGTTTCTCAGCGTAAACAGGAAAACTAAGCTGAATCTTCTTTTTTAAGCTATGGTATAGGTTTTAAGATAATACACAAGGGAAAAAGCAAGATTTCAAAATGCAACACTGCAAACACCACTCAAATCATATTTGGTGGAGAATCTGTGAAAGAAGTTGAAACTTTTATGTACCTGAGGATGTCAAAGCACGAACTTGCAAAACAAGGGCAGTTTCCTTGCAATTGGTGAAAGTCTGAAACTCAAAACAGTTGCCAGCCAGTACTAGAGGCAGATTCTCCATTGCAAACATCAAGACAGCTCTAATGTACGACGCTGAAATTCAGGTAACTATTATACCTATAATCAAAAAAGGCAAACACTGAACTGATACACAGCTCTAAATCCATTGGCCGAACACTATCAGTAACAGTCTACTGTGACAGAGGATAAACTATCATCCAGGTAGACAGGAAATTTTAGAAAAAACACTTGAGATGAATATTTTTTCACATTGCGGAAGTCAACCAACTGTGTTATAACGCAAGCTGTAACATGAAATCCTCAAAACGAAAGAAACTATTACCTGACGAACTGGAGGCAGACATCAAAAGAATGAATAGCGCTTGAGAAAAACCTGGAAAAAAGAGTAGGTTAGAGAATCCTAGTTGGCGGCCTGTTCTTTGTGAGTGGTAACAAGTGTAATTAACTAAGTAAGTAATTTTATTAGTCAACTATAACCACTATTTTTAATAGTATTGTAGTGAATGAGAACACAGGTGGAGGCAACCGAATTGTATTTAACGAAAATTACGGAGTTACTCAGTAAAATCGGAAAACCATATCGTAAATCGTTCATTTGCAAAAGATCAGTTCATCCTATGGGACTGGACTGTTCCTGTTGCCAAACATCAATCCATAGTCACTATTCATGCGTTTCATACAAATTCCATTGTTTTCTGACTCTTCCTTTCTTGATCTTCCCCCCATATTAAGCTACCAGACTTTACGTTGACACTCACGCTATATACTACTTATAAGTAGTTCGCACCACAGCACCACACTCGTCCCCCCCCTTATGCTAGAGATAAAAGTTTTTGAGCAAGCCAAATTACATAAGTTCAAGTGTTCTGATAAAACTTCTGTATGTTACCTTTTAATTTACATTCTGGACTAAATGATAATGCTGATTGTTTATCACAACGGATATCGTTATAATTGTTCAAAAAAACAACTGTGACTAATATCCTGATTATTCGACGTTAAAATCTCTAAACATATTTGTTTATTGGCTTTCTTGAATTCGGAAGTAACAATATCAATCTTCCTTACGAACTGTGATTTATCGATACTGAATAAAGTACTGAAATGCTAGTTTTAATATTAAAACATGCAAACGAAGAACGTTTCAGTAAATTTTATCAGTATAAAACAGTATCGTTGCATATTATATTCTTGACACGTTTTTCTCAGTTGGTATCATAATTAACTTTTCCTACGAACAAACAAATAGACAGTGGTTATCTGTTTATGTAATCGTCTGATTACTAACTTATGTTAAATTTACTGTTGTTTCAGTATTAAGATTTAGTAAATATTTGAATCAACACACTGACTTATTTAAAAACGATTCTGCAAATCTTAAGTAATTGTTTTTTCATGTAATATCTGAAAGCACTTTACTTATTGTGACAAGTGGAGATATTATTCACGAGTTATTCAGTCGGAGAGAGGTTTTATTCATATTTATCAGTCATTGAAATAGAATTCAATACAATGCTTATCTTATTCGTTTTACTGTTTTTAATTCTGTCAATCCAGCAGCATGCTATACACTAATCTAAATGATTAGACATTTTACAAGTAATGAATTTTCTCTCAAATGATAACTAAGTATCATTGAGCATTGAACTTTACATAATGACACAGTTGAATAAGTAACTCAAAGGACCAACATGTAAAGATAACTTTATAAAACTTTAATAAATATTTATCAGTAATAATGATATTTCACAGACAGTAAATTAATATGAGAACTTCAAAAATCATTGTGATTTTATGAAAAATTTAAAAACTATATATTTATTTTTCATTTATGATTATTTAGAAAATAAAAATGATGGAATTAATTAATTATTTTTTGTTACACTCTACAACTTTATGATAGATAAGCTACATTTGGATTAAAAATCATTTTTTGAATTGAATCCATAAAAATTGCTGCTTTCAGATAAAAAAAAATTGGCCAAATAATCAGGAGCATTTAATTAGACACTGTATAGATGTCGGTGAATGACGCCTATTTATTTATAGTTGTCTGTTAGTAATTGACGCCTGTTAAAATGTCTACAATTCTTGCTTTTAATGTACAAAGAGTCGCCTATATAATAGCAAGTTATAAAATACAGATCATCTACACATTCTGTTAAAAGTTGTTTTGTTGTAATCTGTAAACTATATGATGAAAGTGATACTTGTATTGACAAGTGTACCTTATGAAGTGAATGTTTTGTCAACGAATGAAATAGATTGAATGAATATGATATAATGTAATCAACACTTAATTAACTAGACTTTGATATCATTAAATTTCCCTCACATTCAGTCTATCTTTTAAAAAAACAAGAAAAATAAATCTAATCCATTTGTTCCATAGAAAAAAGTTTGAACAGTTACTCCTTCAATAGATGTGAGAAGGCAAATAGCTTCTACACAGTAAAGAATTTGTTGAAAATCACTCTATATACTCATGTATATGCTATTTATTGATGCAAACAATGCACTGATTTCTTCATTAAAATAAGCGTCAAATTAAGTAATCACTGTATATTTTTTTTTAAATAAACAACTAAATTCCAACAATGATCAATGTTTCAGTATGTGAACAAACGTTAATAAAACAAATTTTTAACTGAGTTGAATTGC